TCACATGACTTTCATACAGTTTGTGTATGATATGGAGGGTAGTCACATGACTTTCATACAGTTTGTGTATGATATGGAGGGTAGTCACATGACTTTCATACAGTTTGTGTATGATATGGAGGGTATACACATGACTTTCATACAGTTTGTGTATGGTATGGAGGGTAGTCACATGACTTTCATACAGTTTGTGTATGATATGGAGGGTAGACAAATGACTTTCATACAGTTTGTGTATGATATGGAGGGTAGACACATGACCCCCTCAGCAATAGACACATGCCGGCGGCCAAAAAGTTGGTCCGGCCATGGCCTGACCAACCGGATCGGTTCCGCCGCGCCTGTTTCAGCAGCGAAGGCCATTCTCTAGTTACGGGTAGGCATGCCAGTAATCATGGCGTTATGATAGAATGACAGCAGCAGCAGCATCAGCAGCAGCAGCATCAGCAGAAGTAGCAGCAGCAGCATCACCAATAGCAGCAGCAGCAGCACCGGAGGAAAGGGCATCACCATCAGCAGCAATAGCAGCATTAGTAGCAACACACTACAGTCAGACCTCGTTTATCCGGTCCTCGTTTATCCGGATCCCTCACCATCCGGAAGAAAATCGCTGGTTACCGATGTGCAGCATATGTTATGCATACAACATAACCGGACCTCGCGATCCGCATACCGGTGCATGATTTTGTGTACAAACTGGTTATAATGTGTACAAAATGCTTCGTCGTATCCGGTTGCATGTGGCTGGCTAGCGCTTGCAGAAGCTAGTATCAAGGAGTTGTACAAGCAAATGAGGTACTTGATCTGCTGGGTGTGTGCGGACAGCACTCAGTTGCTTGCACTTGTCATTTTTCTCGCTTGTTTTACATACTGGGCACGCTAGTTGTACTGCATAGGACCTGTCTACATGTATGTATGATGTCACTGCTTTTGACATGCCACATGCATATACAGTATGTGTGTTCAGTTATCCGGTAACCTCGCCTATCCGGATATTTTTGTGGAAAACAGATGTGTGCGGTTAAGCGAGGTCTGACTGTACCAGCATCACTATCAGCAGCAATAGCAGCATTAGTAGCAGCAGCAGCAGCAGCGGCATCATCAACACCTAACGCAAAGACACAACATCTCGTAGTCGATGAGTACGTACCCGTTCAGACGGGTCCTCGGGTAAGTTCTCCTCTAAATCTAGTCTCATTGAGGAGCTCTGTGCATTACAACAAAGTCAACACATTCACAGACACACACACCGCCGTGAGTTACAGAGTAGTAACATCATCACAAATGTCACGTCATAGCAACTTATACCACCAACAGCAGCAGCAGGGCAGAAACACAGCCTGCCGTCTTCCTTAGCTTATCCTTCATTGCAAAAATCATTCAAACAACTTCAAAGTACCGTGATAAAGAGGACAAGCTGAATTGACACTTGGTTACAACCAGTGTACACCATTGCACATTGTCTCTATCGGTTGTCACGTGGTCGATTCATATGATGGCAAACACACACCTGGCGATAACATGGCGGTGAATGCGGTTGTCACGGGTCGAATAAAATGACCAAGCGTCAATGCGGCTCGTCCTCTACATCACAGTTACTTAATACTTGTCCGCCTGTCGTTTATTCAAAAGCTCAAAGTTTGATCCGTTCATGGCCAACAGCAAGATAACGTGTGTCACAACCTACACGGAGACAATGATTTAATGATGGCAATGAAAAGGGTCCACTGCGCATTCATTCCATACACGCATCAAGGCAAAGGTGGTGGGTCTTGGAACTTAGGGGCCGTCGCAAAAGTTGTTTTGTCGTCCCAGAAACGAACATAATTCGTTGGGGGGGGGGGGGGGGGGGGGCAAAATCGCAAGTCGACCGACACTGTACATATGACATGTACATGCATGCGATTTTCGTCGTCCAGCATACCAAGCTGTGTTTGTTTCAGAGGGAGGGGAGGGGTCCGAGTGCGAAATGAACGATGTTCGTTTCAGGGACGACAGAAAACTTTTGCTACGACCCTTCAACGTACCCACCACCTTTGCCTTGGGCGCAGTGCACAGTGAACGGTGGATCCTTTCTACTGCCATAACAATAGTCAAGTATCATCTCTTTTCTTCCTTCTGACTAGACTGTAGCAGTGCATTGACAGCAGCAACACTAACAACAACTCACAGTACTTCTAGGTGCTGCACTGGCACCATCACCTTCACGCTCTTCACTCTGCAAAACAAGGGAAACAAGCAAATAAGCACATGAAATTAGGAACGACACGTTGATGTGTGCGATCCTACAACAGAAGCCATAGCAACTTGTGCTGCGATTGCACCATTCAACAGCTTGCAAGGCTGAAGAATTGACCACCACTATTCAGCCTGGTCTACGCCACACAGTTATTTGAAGTGGCTTTTTCTGGCCAGTGAATCCCTCCTTGTTTGGTCTTTTTCATTTTTCTTTTCCCGCACACACATCACACCACATACTCCGGCATACACTGGCTGTTGGTAACCACCCAGGAGAACGAAAGAAAAGTCAGGAGTCTGAGAAACAGAAGAAAGACGTGTGTGACCATAATCGTCGGGAACTGAACCTGCAACCTCTTGATTGGAAATCGACTGCACATACCACTGTACCATATGACACACACACACACACACACACCACACGCACGAACATAATACACAGACACACAGACACCCCCACACCCACACCCACAGGTTCACTTTCGCATGACGACTGATCCACATAGAGTACTGGAAGAAGGGTAATTATACAACAGAGAGAACAAGGCCCACCTCCTTCTGTCGCTGAAGCTCTTCAAAGCGAAGTTTACGCGCTCTTGCCCTGGCTTCTCTCTTCATCGCTAGGTCTTGCTCACCCTAAGAGACAGATAGACACAATGAGATAGAGGTAAGTAGAGCAAGCGAGTGAGAGGTTGATGGATAAAGAAAGGGCAAAGAAGCTGAGGCTGCGATTACACGACAAGACACGGCCAGTTTTCCGTTTTCGGTCCCGCATTTCTTTTTTTCTGTTTTGTGCGTTTACACGATCAAACCTGATCCGAGGTGGTCTCCTTTCGTATCGTTTTCACGCGTGTACACGGGAGCAAAGTATCCGCCACAGTTCCTCATGTGTCAAGTGTTGTCGTGGAACCACCAACCATAGTTTTAAAAGTAATAGTTGAAAACAGGCCACACGACAACACTTCTCACATGACGAACATTGCAATTTTTTCGGATTGCCGGATCCGTGTGAACGCGTGAAAACGAAACAAAGGTGACGGTAACACATTTATCCGGCAGAACATTTCCGTTTTCAAATTCTTCCACCTTGGCCAGCGTTTTGGTTTTGTTCCGTTCCGGTGTACAACTTTTCCGTTTTGCTTCGTGTACCGTGTAAATGAACCATGCATCCGAAAGGGTTTGATTGCGTTTTTATCCCCAGCGTTGTCGTGTAAACGCAGCCTTAGATTGATAGAGGAGTGAAGACAGAGCACTTGGGAAGCATAGACTGTATACTGTACCTCAGCTAGGCCAGCTGTCTGTGTATGTGTTTGTTGTTTGTTTATTTAGAGTCGAAGAACAAACAGGCAAATTTGCCTAATTACATGATATCGATATGGGTGATCACAAATGTGTGTGTGTGTGTGTGTGTGTGTGTGTGTGTGTGTGTGTGTGTGTGAGGTGTGTGCGTACATGTGCGGATGTGTATGTGTGTGTGTGTGTGTGTGTGTGTGTGTGTGTGCGTACATGTGCGGATGTGTATGTGTGTGTGCGTGTGTATGTGAATTCACAGGGAGGGTACTATCGGAAGCTCTGAATGATCTTGAAGCACTTGATAGGCATCGGCATGATGGTCACGCGGTGTTTGCAAGTCCATCATACTCATGCCCATACTCAACAGGAGTATGTTGTGTCCTCTATGCCAAAGCCGGTTATACGCATTGCACACGGGCACATACACACGCGCGCACACACACACGCGCGCACACACACACACGCGCGCGCGCACACACATACACACACCAGCAGGATTACTACTGACAAGATCTCTAGACTAACAAGATCTCATTCTTCACTCCGACGCCAGCCGACATCACAAGACACACAACAAATGAACTAAAGTGCAAGCACCCCGTTTTACATGCTCAAGGAAAACATCTACATGTACATGCATTCTTCTTGTTTTAAAATCCTGCCTGGATTTGAGTGCTGCTCTTTTTGTAAACCGTGTAACCCAACACTACACGGTGTTGTGTTTGTTTGAAACATTCCCCGTGATGCAACGGACCACAAGCAGAAGCCTATTCACTGCGACAAAATGTGTAGTCTATGGTCGTGGGAATTATTTGTCTTTGCCGTTCGATTCGTCTCCACCGAGACGCCCCAACTCAGTTTTTTCTTTCTTATCGGAGTCGGGGTTTGCCATCCAGAGAGCACAGGGGCGAGCGACACTTCAGAAACAGAGTTCGTGTATGCAAAGTAACATCATACGTAACGGTCTGTTGCGCAGACGAAAGCAGGCGTGAATTTACACCGGAGTTGAAAAGCAAAATAGGCAGCAGCAAAACAGTGTTCAGAAGCCTCAACTTTACGAAAAGACATCTACACTTTCAGCAACTGCTCTACATAAAGATCTTCACTGCATCAGTCACACAGAATTGGCAGAACCGAAAGAGATCGCCAATATCTAATCACACATTGACAGGTTATTGGTATGGGTAGCAATTGAAGTTTTTAGCATTTCTTGATCTTTTAGTTCTAAGCAGTTTTACCTTGTCCATCATCGTTTGTATGGCTCTCTCCTCCGCAGAGGCCTCCTTGGGACCTCGAGCTCTGCCTCCATCGGCGTTCTGACCATTGGACGCCATTACAACTCACAACATGCAGCCCTCACTGGGGCTCAGAGCTTGCTGAGGAGCCCACTTGCTTCTGTTTACACGAGTCGCCTTGGCGATGTGGAAAGAAGCCCTTCTCAGCATCGCCTCCCTGCCGAACAAGAAACACACCCGAATTTTGGCTCGTTTTACGACGGAAACCCCATCATAATCAGAGTTACATTCTGAGTATTGTGGCTGAAATCCTGGTCAGCATCTTCTTTTATGCGAAACACGTCAAAGTTTACTTTTTATTATTTTTTTCGGTCTCTCAAAATCATAATCATGGAAAAAATTATTTTCAGTTTCATTAGCCCGATCATGTCAGCAGTGCACTAGTGCAGGCCGGTCGGTCTCGCGATATGAATGGAGATTTTCCTGGCAGAAACGAAGGTGGAAGCTGTGTTGTGTAGATCTTCCTGCGTGTACCGGCTTCGTTTGCAGCAGGCTATGTAGGGCTGCGAACACCATGAACACGGAACAGGTTGTCTGCCGTGCCGGGTGCAAGCTGTCCACTGCAGATGGGTCATCGCGTCTTGACTGTGAATTAAATCAGGATCTCATTCTGTTCGAGTTTGAGCGCGACGCTCGCACCCGAGGAACAATTCTAGCAAACAGGTAGGGCTTTGCCTTTGATTGGCACGGTTTGGATACATCCTTAGGCCCTCGTCCTACAGTGCATCCGACTAAGCTTCCCTGCTACTCGTACAGTAGTAGTATTCTCATCACATAATCATTGCATCTCCTAAGTCATGGTTCTAAAAACTAGCTGCAATATGACTGGGATATGATCTGCAGCAACAGGAGTGAATCAGTAACACAGATACTGCACAAGCAGATCAACACGTCTGTAGCTAGTCCCGCGGCACATCTATCATGAACGCACGTCCGTGCATGTACAAGCTCTGCAATGCCATGTACACGTTTGTGCGTATGCAGCTACATACATGTGCATGCACAGACACACTGTACTGTCCCTCCAGGAAATCGCGATTCCACGGATGCAACAAGTTTCGCGATTTGGCCCAAACCCGCGATTTCGAGCAAAATCCGCGATTTCCCGTGTTTTTTTGTTGTTTCTGCACTATATCTCACATTATTATGCACTTTTCACACAGTACTTTCCATGATCATGTAGGTTACTTGCACAGCACGACTTGTACCACTCCCGAGTAGATATGCTGCGCAAATAACGATTCTAACAATGCAACAAGTTTCGTGATTTGGCCCAAATCCGCAATTTTCTGCAAATAATTCCGCTGGCATGCCGGCAAGTTCCGCATCTTTCCGCACTTTTCGCCGCATTTTTTGTTGTTTTCTGCCGCAATTTCTTGCGCAAGTTTTCGACACATTTTTCCGCAATTTCCCGCAGGGACGGCAAACAAGCAAGTGCGTGCACGCGTGCGCACACACACAAACAAACAAACACACACACACACACGTGTTTTTGGCCGTGATGCCGAGACCACAGCCGCACAGGTCGGCAGAACCGTCAATGCCCCACCATCACGCTGCGTCTCGGTGCAGCGTGGGGCGCAGCAAGATGAAACCAGGGAGATGTTCAGCCTTTCCGCGAAGTTTCATCGCTAAAATGCCAGCGAAATCAAAGTTACACGCAAAACATGTGTAATGTAAATTCTAATGCGTTAAAATTTGAATTTTTGAATTTACTATTACCTACTACCATTTTGCTCAATATACTTTAAAGGGGAAGTATACCCTAAAATCAAATTTTCACCAGTTGTAGTCTTCGGGGTGCTGAGTCGAATGGTCTTGGTCCAAGGAAGCTGAGACGCTCCCTTCCTACTTGAATCCCAATCGAACTCGCGCACTTCCACCGAAACTGGGTGACTGCGCCCTACGAGATGGGGATTTGTATGCAAAATGTCACTAAAAGCGCCATTTCGTTCTTATAAAAGCACGGATGACCGCGATTGGCCCATATGTTGTAGTCTTTTGGACGCTGAGTCGACTGGTTTTGGTCCGAAAAGGCTGCGATGCAGCGTTCCTCCTTTATTCCCAATCGAACATGGTTGAACAAGCGGTCACGTGCTCCTGCGTACACCAGTCACCTGGTCACCGTGCCTGCAGGGTACAACTTACTAGCCTGTTTGACCTTTTTTGGGTGCAGTCCTGTCACTCGAGTTGAACTCGAGTTGAACCTTGGTGTGAAAGTTGTCGCCTGCTGGCGCGGTGACCAGGTGATTTGGGCACCCAGGAGCACGTGACCGCTTGTTCAACCATGTTCGATTGGGAATAAAGGAGGAACGCTGCATCGCAGCCTTTTCGGACCAAAACCAGTCGACTCAGCGTCCAAAAGACTACAACATATGGGCCAATCGCGGTCATCCGTGCTTTTATAAGAACGAAATGGCGCTTTTAGTGACATTTTGCATACAAATCCCCATCTAGTAGGGCGCAGTCACCCAGTTTCGGTGGAAGTGCGCGAGTTCGATTGGGATTCAAGTAGGAAGGGAGCGTCGCAGCTTCCTCGGACCAAGACCATTCGACTCAGCACCCAGAAGACTACAACTGGTGAAAATTTGATTTTAGGGTATACTTCCCCTTTAAACATTCTATACACAAAGGATTTACAGCTACGTTTGTGCTTGTTTTCTTTATGTCTCCTATTATATATCAACTGCTTCTCTTACCATGTCCAGCATAAGCGAACGTGTGGACTGTGTTTGTGCATGGGTGACTTGCACTTGCACTGTTGACGCCGCCGCGGGAATGCATTATAATAATAATAAACTACCCTGTCCCCGGGGAAGATTGCGATTCCGCGGCCGCGTTTTTTCCGCGTTTTTGCGATTTTTAAAAGACCGCGTTTTCCGCGATTTTCCCGCGTTTTTTGAACTTTTCTGTTGCACTACAGTGACTACACGTACACACAGTGCACTGTTCGGTCAGCAACGTCTCATCCGGTGGCGGCTTTGTATTCAAATATGACGAGCGCTTACACCAGAGACTTGTAACTGATTGATTTCACTACATACTCACTGAAAATTGCCTCGTATCAACTGCAAACTTGCCGCCGCGAGATGATATCAATAATATTCACTGCATATTTACCGCATATTTACCGCAAATTCACCGCAAATTATGCCATATTATGCCGCGTTTTTTGCGATTTTTTTCCGCAATTTTCCCCGGGGACAGACTACCATTTTTGACAATAGCGGGCTTTGAAAGTCCATATCTCAAAAACTGCTGAAGCAATTCACTTCAAATTTTCGGGATGTTCGGTTGGGTCCTAGATCCTACCCAGAGGGTCTGGAAGAGAAAATGGGGTCAAAATCCAAAATTCGATTTTTGACCCTCTGAAAGGTGCCGGAAAGGTGTAGCGCCACCATCAATGACGTCTAGCCTCATTCTATCATCCATATGCTCCTGTAGTAGCTCACACTGTACTCCATCGTAACCCCATCCCCCTGCAATGTGTTGGTTTCCTTACTTGCTAGACTGATGTTACATGATTCTGGACTGATTTGAATCATATTATCTTCCTTATTGGCCATGGGCCATCGTGGAAATAAAGAATAAAGCACTCGTCATATTTGAGTACAAAGCCGCCACGATGATATTTTGCTGACCGAACAGTGCACTGTACTGTAGCTGTGTGTACGTGTAGTGCAACAAAAAAGTTCAAAAAACGCGGAAAAAACGCGGCCCCGGAATCGTGATTTTCCCCGGGGACAGAAGAATGGCCTTGGATACTGGTGAGAACCCTCGGTGATCTCAACCCGCACGCACAACACGCAACAAGTCCTGTAGTAGTAGGAAACACAATTCTTCACTTCTTCGCCACGAATCCAAAATGTTACAGCGAGAGAGAAAAACTCACTGCTACACACGCTCTTATTCTACAACAACTGAAAGGGTTCGCAAGTAAAGCAAGTGTGAGGTGCACTGAGTGTGAGAAACCTAACAAGCGTGAAATGTAGGTGATAAAATGAAACCTAAGGCATAGCATACAGTTCCGCAAAACACAACATATGCAAATGTGCGGATGTATCGAACTATTACTTCACTACCTTCGTGCCAAACCAACAAGCCTAGGCTGCTATTATTCATGAAGTCGCACTAGTGCTACTGATCATACTCCCCTCCTTGATATGCTCACGTTAAACACAAGAGCAAATATCAATATACTTGAAGTACATCTCCGTCTATTATTGCCGATAGAATGAGCAATCCTATAAAACACCTAAAATAGTATAAAGTTCACAGCACTCAGCTACAAGAATATAACGCAACTCCTCACACAACAGAGCCAAAACATGTCATCTTAGGTAGGATATGATGCGTACGATATGACCCGTTAATAACATCTTCATCGATGTAGGATGGGACAAAGCTTGACGATAGGGCGTGTGACTAGCTTACCGCCTACTAGAACCTTCACGACACGCACATGCCCATTTGTGCCAGGCATCACTTGCTGTACGCGTCCGAGTGGCCACTTGCCGCGTGGAGCGTGCGGTGTAATGACTAACACCACATCACCAACTGCCATGTTCCGCTCTTCGGTGGTCCACTTCGATCGTCGGTTGAGAGCAGGTAACCACTCTGTCATCCAGCGGCGCCAGATATGTGTCGCAAGTTCCTGTACACGTCGGCACCTCTGATGCGGGCTGCTTGGTTGGTCGGTACCGTCGACGGCGAGCTCTTCCACTCGGCCAACCAGGAAATGGTTTGGGGTGATCGGTAAGTCATCTTTCAAGTCAGCTGATGGCGTAGTCAGTGGGCGCGAATTCAGCAGGTTCTCTGCGCCACATAATGCCGTCTGAAGCTCCTCATCTGTGATGTCAGCCACAGACAGAACGGCAAAGATGGCCAGCTTTGCGGACTTGATCATCGTTTCATGAACTCCTCCAAAGTGAGGTGCCCCGGGTGGAATGAAATTCCACTTCACCTTGTCGAAGTGTTGACCAATTCTTTCCTGGTCATCTCCAGTAAAGATCTCTTGAATCTCTCTTTGGCCACCAACGAAGTTTGTTCCATTATCCGATAGAACTTCCTCGGGTAGCCCACGTCGATTGGCTATCCGTTCAAACGCGTTGATGAAGCTGTTGGTGTCGAGACTGTATGACATCTCCAAGTGTACCGCGCGACACGTCAGACAA